AAACCAAACTACTACAGGTGCTGCCCCCCAGCCCCTGCCCCGGGGTGTGGCCTTCAATCCCACCAGTCCCCCGAGATCTCACGGGCTCGCTGCTCGTTCCCATCGTCCCGCGGGCCCTTGGCAGGACGGGAGCCCTTTGTGGTGGCAGCAGCTGTCACCAGACGTGGCAGATGCCAGAGCGATGCCACCGGCCCAGCGACAGCTTTATTTTTAAAGTTGGGCCGAGGATGAGTTGGCACAGAGCAGCTTTGGCCCCCGGGGCTGCTGCTCCGATGGGCTCAGCTCCCAAAAATAATAATAATAATTTTCCCTGGGTCGCTTCCCTTCCCAGATTTCTGTTGGTGGCCAACGCTGCCGTGAATTCCCACCCTGAAAACGGAATGGCTTTGCACAAACACGGATCAGCTCGTTGGGAGGGGAAGCCCAGATCCTTTTCCTGCAGGAAAAGGCATTTTCTTGGTGGGCAGGTCTTTGGAGAGAAGATCTCCAGAACCAGAGCACTCCCAGTCTGGGGTTTAGTGGGTTCTGCCAAATCCTGAGCTTTATTCCCTGCTCCCGAGAGGTGCAAAATTCTGGTGCTTCCACACGGCCATGGAAGGAAATCCCTCTGGTTTAATTCTTTTCCCTCTGGTTTAATTCTCTTCCCTCTGGTTTAATTGTCTGCCTGGTTTTGGTGTGTGGTGTAGCCCAACCTCGTGGGGAGTGTGGTTTGTCCCACACAGAGACCCAGGATCAGGGGAGGGTCCCAGCATTGAGGGAGAGCCACGACCCCTCAAACACCCCTCAAACACCCCTCAAACATTCCACCATGGGGTGGAAATGCCCTTGGAGGCAACAAGGACCAAATCCCTTCTCCATGAGTTCTTCCCTTGGCCTCTCCCCCTCCCAAAATCCACTGTGTCGATGCCGGGGGAGCTTCCCTTCCCTTCCCATCCACTCACCAACCCCCCTTTTCTCTCCTTCTCCCCAGATATTGAGTTCCTGCCGCTGGATCCCCGGGAATGGCGGGGAACAAGCCCCCAAGTCTCTTCTCAACTACTGTACAGGATGACCCCGCGCAAGCTTCCCACGCTCGAGCCGGGCTTGCTCCGTAGTCACCGTGTGTTTTAGGTTATTTATTTATTAAATTAGGATACTGTTCATGCGGCCTCTGCCACTGGTGTTCGTGCTGCCGCGGGACTGGGACACGCTGGATTTCTTCTCCGTTCCTTTCGTTTTCCTCTTTGGATTCGTTCTTTCTCGGGGCTGGGGAGGATGAGGAAGGAGCTGGTGGGATCGAGCCGTGGGACGGTCCCTTGTCGCCGATGGAGCCACGGGGTCCGACTTGGAAGTCAACGTTGGTCCCAGCGCTTCTTCCAGCGGCGCGGGATCCCGGGATGGGTTTGCATTTCTCCTGCTGTTTGATGACGAAGCCAAAAAAACCCTCGTTCTCTCCGGGCTCTGGCGAGTGGCCGGATGCTGCCGCCCGTCCGGAGCCGCCCCGGTGGATCCCTCTGGAGAAGCCTCTCGTCCGTGCTGTGGAACTTTCCGGGGGCTGGTGCCACCAATCCTGTGGAGAACGTCGCCTTAGCGCTGCTGGAAGCTGTGGGGAAGGGTCCGGGCAGGGAGAGCCCCACGGCAGGAGGAGCCGGGCGGGCAGAGCCCAGCGCCGCTCCCGCCGCTCCCGCAGCTCCGCAGCGTTTTCCTGCTGCTCTCGTTCCCAGTGCCAACCTCTCTGGATCAACCAAAGCCGTGTTCCCGGGGGGGGCCGGGGCAGATCCCGCTGTGCTGCTGGAAGAGCTCCCCCGGCAGATGCTGCTCATGCACTGGGAGCTCTTCCCAAGCCAGGCAGAGCTCCCCGGACATCCCGGCTGGGGAGGGACCCGTGTCCACACCAGGGCTTTCTCCAGCTGTGTTTCAGTCCTCGTTGGAAGTGTTTGGAGTTTTCTTTTCTGGGTTGATTATTTCATTACTTTATTTATGGATCTGGGAACACCCCCCCCCTGGAGTGGATGAGACGTCTGGTGGAGGATCCTCCACATGGATTCAGTGTCACTGAAACCCTTCAGTCGCCTCAGATCTTGAAGCATCAGAGCTGAGGGAGAATAAATTGGCCATAGTTCCTTGCTTTATCCCAGGATGTCCCTCTGGAGCGCTGACACACTTCCCAAGGTGACTTCCCAAGTCGCCTTCGTTATCCATGTGGAGAACATGATCCGTCTAAAATAAAATTGCCCGACCCCGTGAGCACAAACCCTTTTATCCCCTGGCTGCTGCTTTGGTTCCCGAGTCTCTCATCAGCTACAGAGTCGTGTTTTGTCCTCCTGGGCTTCTTTGCCATCATGAAAAACCCCTTTTGTGGCAGCTCGTTCACGCACAAGGAAGGAAAAACTGTGGAATTACGGTCTCGGCATCCAAGTTCTTCTCGTGGTTCTCGGGTCGTGAGCTTTGGAGCAAACGTTCCCTGTGTCAGCATATTCCAAGTTTGTCTCTGAATTCTCTCAAAACCTGGAAGGAAAACCTTTGGAGACCTTGGGAGACCTCGGGGAGACCTTGGGAAGACCTCTGGGAGACCTTGGGAGGACCCTCCGGAGACCTTGGGAAGATGTTCAGGCTTTGAGGGCTTTTAGAAGGCTCTGAGGAGACCTTAAGGCTTTGAGGAGCTTCTTCACAGACTGACCTCGAACCACAGACTTGAAGTCATCTCTGCCCACGAGTTTTATCCAGATCCTGAGATTTTTTTGGGGAAGAGTCCCCTGAGCCATTGGAAATGTCCCATCCGGGTCTCTCCCAGCGCCGGATCCGCCCTGGTCTGTGTCAGCCCCGAGCTCCCAGAGAGGCCCCACCTGGAATCTGCTCCTGGACAAGGGGACAGGCGGTCGTGGGGCCACGTGGGAGCAGCTCCTGGAAGAGCAGGTGTCCCACCCACCCCGGGAAAACCTCTCTCCACCCCCAGGACCCTCTGGAGCAGCTCCGGCTGCCACTTCCCGCCCCGTGTCCATCGCTTGTGCCACAGCCAGTGGTGCTGCTGATCCACGGATCCCTCCGTGCCCGTTTCATCTTCCAGGTAGATAAGAAGGGGGAAAAATAATGAAAATATCAGTAATAAAATCCCACCTGGCCTTCCCCACCTCGATTCTCCAAACTCTTCTCCGTGTTCTGCTGCTCCTGTAAAGCTTCTTGGCTCGCTTGGCTTTTTCCTAATCAACCTGGAATCATATCCTGTGATCATCTCTAAATTAAATGTTAATGGGGTTTGGTTTCTTTTATCTTATTTTTTTGTTTTGTTTTTTAAAATGTAACGCCTTTTTTTTTTTTTTCCAAAACTTTAGAAAAAAAAAAAAAAAAAAAAGGAGATTTTTAGGTAACACCAGCAAAATAAGGAATGAAATAAAGGAAATTTAATTCTGTCCTGAACTTTTAGGAATAACAAAGCAAAACCCGTCATCAGCAGGGAGGGAACGGAACCGTCGCACCCGTAACATTTCAAAAGGATGTTTTAAATATTAATGTCTGAGTGATTGTATTAGATCAGCAATAAAGACTCTGTAATCTCAAAACACAAATAAAACATGGGAAAACTCGGCTGCTCCCGGGGCGTCCTTTGGGAGCACACGGTGGGGGGGGAGGGGGTTTGGGGGTGAGAGGTGGGATTTGGGATTGTTCCCAAAGCCCTGAGCTCCCAGTGCTGCTGGATAATCCCGGCTGGGGAAGCTCCACCCGTCCTTGGGGCAGCCGGAGCTGTTTTGGCTCCGGTGCCGTTGTGTCCTTGGGGAAGTGGTGCCGGAAAAATCCCGTTATCTCCCCTGCCCCGTCCCCTCCCCGCTGCACAGGGACATTCCCACCCCCGCGCTTGGGGTTCCCCGTTTTCCAGTGGCTGTGGAAGGACACAGGACACGGGCAGCACCAAGAAGGGGTCTCCAGCACCTCCCCAGTGACCCCAAAACCACCAACCCCCCGTGTTGGGCGTGGAAGAGGAAAGGGAGGGGTGGGAGTCCCTCTGTCCCACCCCTGTTCCAGCCACCACAGGCTGCTCCCAGCACCCCAGGGACACCCTATAACCCCCCTTCCCCAGCATTCCGTCCTCCCAGCACCCCAGGGACACCCCATAACCACCCCTCCTGGAGCATTCCATGCTCCCCGCACTCCAGAGACATCCTTTAACACCCCCTCCCCACCATTCCGTGCTCCCAGCACCTCAAGGACACCCCATAACCCCTTCTCAACACTTCATGTTCCCAGTACCCCAAGGACACCCCATACCTCCCTCCCCAGCATCCCCCGCTCCCAGCATCCCAGGGACTCCCCACAGCCCCCCTCCTCCCAGCATTCCATGCTCTTAGCACCCCCAGGACACCCCAACACCCCAAGGACCCCATAACCCCCTTCCCCAGCATTCCATGCCCAGGGACACCCCATCACCGCATTCCACGTTCCCAACGACCCCGGGGACACCCCATAACGCCCCCTCCCCAACATTCCATACTCCATGACCCCCGGGACACCCCATAATGCCCCTTCCCCAACTCCATGACCCCCGGGACACCCCATCACCCCCCAGGACACCCCATAACGCCCCCTCCCCAACATTCCATACCCCATGACCCCCGGGACACCCCATAACGCCCCGTCCCCAACATTCCATGACCCCCGGGACACCCCATGACCCCCGGGACACCTCCAAAATTCCACGCCCCCATGACCCCCGGGACACCCCACAAGGCCCCCTCCCCAACATTCCATGACCCCCGGGACACCCCATA